GAGGAATGGTGGAAACTGAAGAGACAGAAGAAAATATAACGACAGAGTATCGGCGGAACTTTCTCGTTCTCTTCTCCTCAGCAAGATCGGCAAAGATATTCTTGCTCTCTCCCCCAGGCATCTCGACGGAAGTTTCATCAAAAAACTTATCGTTCTGTATTCTTCTCTGTGTTCCACCTTTCTCGCGTCTCTCATCCAGAGCCCCTCCGGTCGAAGTCTAACAAAGTCGAACAATGGCAATCAACGAGAAATATTTACAGTACGAGGTGGAAAAGGATCCTATAAAGACCGCGATATCGATCGATTGATTGCTTCGAGAATTTCCGTTGTTTTAATTATTGTTGTCACACGATTGAACGCTATCCGTCATTTAAGGTTTCTTAATAATTATCTTCAATTATTTATTATTACCCTGAAAATGACAAAATTACGAAAAAGTACGATCGAATATTTTTGCAATTTTTGCTATATAAATCGACTTTTTGTCAATTTCCTTGATTAAATCAAGATTACAAATGTGACAGAAATTCTATTCCAGCTCGATATATCACATAGAAGCATGAAATAATTAAATCTGACAGCAGGCATCAAACGAGATTAAAATCTAGGACAACCCGGATACATTTATGAAAGATCAGTTTGATGGATATTAATTATTATGTCTTAATTACGTATATTTATTACGTATTACGTATGTTAAGTTTTTAAAATTGTGCGCGTTTAAATGTTGGTCACATTATTTGATACCATCTAATAATTAATTTTCGACCGCTTAGCGTAGTCATATAATCATAAAATATATAACTTCCAAAACTCTCGAAAACAAAATGGAATAAAATGAAATACATAAATATAAAATTCACATATCGGAAATTTTAAACAAAATCCTTGATTTTGTGTGCAAATTGTGAAATCTAAAAATCTCGATGATAAAAATTAAAATATGAAAAGCTTGCGTACGAAACGATAAAAGAATAGTAAAATTGTAATTAGAAGCTAGATGTGTTTCATTATTTTATTACTGTTTAAATTTCTAGCTACTCATAGTTTAATTCGCTGAATATCGTCCTCTTTCTTGTTCTCTTGTACGGTATATTTGTTCGTATGTCCACGCTTTGTATTACTAATTATATAGACATCTCATTTCCACGGATTAGCGAGAAATACTGGGAACTGCGAAATATTAATTTCTCCCTTCTCGTGAATCGCCGGTGGTTGCCGATGAAAATAGCTTTGCAAGTGCAAGTGACTGCAAGTTGGATGAAGTTAAATAATGTGCAGTCGACATATCTTTCCATTATTCACAAATTTTACCTTTTTCCAACTTTGCACATTTTTCACATAAATTAATATTGGAAGAGAAAATATGGAATATCTTTTTTGAGAAATGCTTTAAATTTTTCACCATATATTGCATTATACAGCTGTTTCATTGTATTGATATTCATTTTTTTCTTTTTGATTTTTAAAGTTTTTGTAGTAGCTGATTTTTAATTCGTTACATCAAACCTCAATTATTCAATATAATCATGCTGCATTAGTATTGCCGACTGATTGATGGAATAAAATTCGATGCGTAATAAACGGAACGTTATTTCAACGGGCGCTCTGCATTTATTTTGCCCATTTTAATCTTGTATTATTGCATTTTGAATAAATCTTGTATTATTTACATATACCATGCCATGCACGTGTGAAAAAATTGTTGAAGCTGTGAACGGAAAACGTTTGGTGTATGCTAAATAATATCGCGCAATAATTAAATACTGTACATATTGTAATAATGTTAAAGGCGATATATTGTGTGTTATTCCAACTTTCGCATCTCTTTGTGCATTCGCGTGCTTGCATTACCTACACAAAGCACAGTTGTTGTGTGTCAAAACTGTTTCGCAACTTTCTGCTGTGAAAAACTATTCATTTCTCTTTATTCATCCCGAGTGTCTTATTATTTCCTCTTCTCCGTGCTGGATAACGCATCTACTACATATTTTGTTTTACCTGATCATATCTGTCATATTTCCACGTTGTTTGAAACCTCTCTGACATTTGCGCGATTTATGAAAGAAATATTAACCGGTATCGGATTCTTGTATCGCGTTTGCCAGTTCTTGCTGGCATAAATGTTGTTACACGATACGACACCGCGTGTAACGATGTTAAGAAAGAAATTCGAGCTTACGATTAATCGATGAACTATGCCCTGTAACTCAAGGAACATAGTTCGTACCCTCTCACGCGAGTGTGTGAACGCGTCAGCTTTTAAAATCAAAAGCGTTATCAAAATAACAATATAATTTTAAATAATAATGTGCAAGTAGCTGCTGGAAATTCTTGCAAAGTTGCACATTTATGCAAGATTATTTGCACATTTAATTTCGAGACTTATCAGTTGGCAATTTACAAATTGTTAATTCATTAAAGACCTAGTTTTTTTCTTAATCTTAATGAACTTGCACTGTTCACACGTGGTGTGTTTAAGAGAAAGAAAGGAGAGTGCACTTAAGCGTTGATTGCACTGCGCGTTTCTCCTAGTTATGCCACTGGCCACAACCTCTGCATTTATATAATTCAGTGTATATTTTGTGGTCTGCGTATATGAAAATCATAAATAATTTCAATGTTACATTTCAAAAGAGTAATTTTGCAATGTCCACAGAACAAGATTTAAATCAAAATAATCCACGTGCCACAAATGTCAAAAATCCGCTTCGATCGTTGTAAAAATTTATCTACGCTTTTCTGTTATATCCGCCATCGAAATTTGCCGAATATGTGTCATTGATGGATATCGCCTCCCATTGGCGTAGAACTTCAAAGTTAAATTGTCCGACGTAAGTTGATAGTACGCCGAGACGGCGACAGCTGTGGTAATAAAGACATTATGCATGACGTTAATAGATAAGGAAAAAGTTCAACCGCCAGTTAATTGAGCCGGATTACATCAAGTTTTTACACTTTGTCCTCTTCCAAGCGTAATCGTCGATCTCTCTCTCTCTCTCTC